AATTAACACACAACATAACAGAAAACAAATATCAAAAGGGCAAAAGAAAGTCCTTCCTTGTCAGAAATAATTTTACATGTAAATGTTTTAATTTAAAGGCTCCAAATAAAATAAAGAGGTCAGCATAATGAATAAAAATACAGGACTCACTTTAGATGCAAAAATTAAAAATAGGTTAAAAGTAAAGGGGTTAAAAAAATATTTCTTGCAAATTGTCATCAGAAGTAGATGAAATAAAGAAGCACACAAACTACCAAAACTAACTCAAGAAGAAACAGAAAATATGTACACTCTGTATAATTATCAGAGGAAATAGACTTTAAGTCAAAAATTGTTATAAGAAAAAAAGAAACCATTATATTTTGGTAACAGGGTCAATCCATTAAAAAAGATATAACATTTATAAGCATACATGCCTCTAACAACAGAGCTCCAAAAACTGAAGTAAAAATTAACAGAACTGAAGAAAAAAATAGAAAATAATACTTGAAGACATCCAAACTCTACTTCCAACTGTTAATATAAAAACTAGGTAGATCAATAAGGAAATAGAATACTTGAACATCAATACACCTATAAAGTATACACAGAACACTCCATTCAATAATAGAATACACATACTTCTCAAGTGTACATGAAACTTTTCTCAAGAGAGATCATATGTATGGCCACAAGAAGTCTCAATAAGTATAAAAAGATACAAATTGTATAAAATATCTTCTGTGATCTGAGAGACCAAAATAGATATTTCTTTATCAGCTAAAATGGACTCCAAGGTTAAGGAAACAAAAGTTATCTATAGGTCAAGGGTTCAGGGCTCAGTTGGTATGGCAACCTCCTAAATTTCTGTGGCTACAAGAATAATCACATCCTTGCTAAACTCCCTAAAAGCAGGAGCTATAAGGCAAAGTGTCAGACCCTTCCTAACTCTGATGTGCAACCCAGACCACTAAAATTCTGATTGAAGAGAGGACCCACCTTACAAACACTCTTTTCTGGTAAGCAACTGTAGACCATAAGCCAGTTTCAACCAGCTTATAAAGATTGCACACAAACTGTCTTTGTGTCTTACAGTTCACCTTTCGATATAAACAGGCAAATCCCAAGACATTAATGCTAAAGCCCATCACAAAGTGAACAGGAGATGAATGTTACGTACAGTTTACCCATTGTGCATGCACTCAAACCCCTTAATAAATCTGTATAGCTTTTTCTCCAAATACACTGAATAATTATGACTCTGTTATACGAACCCTGAGACATAAAACCCAACCAGCCATTTCCCTCTTTGAAGAGAGAACACCTTCAATCCATATCTAAGACTATGTCTCCCAGGTTTACAGACAGATATGACCAATAAAGCTCTCTTTCTACTATATAACCATCCTGGTGGTCTTTTGCATAGCACTTCTATGACCACAAGAAAATTAAACTAGAAATCCATAATAAAAGGAAAAAATAATGTTTATAAATATATGAAAATTAGACAACATACTCAAAAAATCAATAGGTAAAAAAAACACAAATGAAATTAGAAAATACCTAGAGATTAATGAAAATGAAAATACAACATGCCAAAAATTATGGATTGCAGTTAAAGCAGTACTCAGAAGAAAATGTATAGGTTTAAACACCTATATTAAAAAAGAAAAAAGGTCTTGAATCAATTACTTAACTTCACACCTTAAGAAACTAGAAAAAGAAGAATGAATTAGCATTAGAACTAGCAAAAAGAAGGAAATAATGAGTAGAAAATAAATAAGAAGGAAATAATGAGTAGAAGGAAATAATGAGTAGAAAATAAATAAATTAAATAGAGTATAGTAGAAACAATAAAAGAATCAAGGAAAACAAAAGTTGTTCTTTGGGGGGGAAAAAGGCAATAAAATTGACATTTACAGAGACAGACCAAGCGAAAAAAACAGACATAAAATAGGGACATTGCTATTTACCTTTCAGACGTAAAAAGGATTATAAGTTGTTTTATGCAATAAACAACTGTAGGCCAACATATTAGACAACCTAACTAAAACGGACAAATTGCTATAAATACATAAAGTACCAAAAGTGACTAAAGAAGAAACAGAAAACATGAACAAATCTATAACTACATAAGGAGTTTGACTCAGTAGTCAACAATGTCCCAACAACAAAAAAGATTAGAACCCAATAGCTTCCGTGGAGAATTCCACCAAACAGTTAAAGAAGAATTAAACAAAATCCACCTCAATTTCTTAAAAAAGAATAGAAGAGGAAGGAACACTTTCTAACTCAATTAATGAAGACAGCATTACTCCAATACCAAAGCCACACAATGATATCACTTTGAGTGCAAACATTCTCAATAAAAAAATAACAAACCAATTCCAGCAGCATACTAAGTACTAAACAACATGACCAAGTGAGACATGTTCCAGGAACAAAAAGGCCATTTAACATATGACAGTCAAGAATATAATACACTACATTAATAGAAAGATGGGTGAAAAAACATGGTAATTTGATATGGAAGTATTTGGCAAAACTCAATATGCTCTCATGACAAAACATACTCTGTGAACTAGGAATTTACAAGAATTTCCTCTACCTGATAAAGAGCCTTTATGAAAAAAGGTTCAACAGCAAATATCAAATGCCATAGTGAAAGTCTGAAAGCTTTCTCCCTAAGATCAAGAATAAGAAAAGGATGCCTTCTTTTGCCAATGTTTCTACTAAACATTGTTCTGGTTCAACTAAGAGCAATTTGGCAAGAAAAAGATGCGAAATTTACCCAAGATTGAAAGGAAAAAGTAAAACAATATTGCTATTCACAGATGACATGATCTTTCATATAAAAATTACTAAAAAGTTCACAAAACAAAACAACACTATTAGCGCTAATAAATGAACTCAACCAAGAAGCAGGATACATTTAAAAACTCAGTGTGTTTCCGTACACTAGCAATAAACAATGTACAGAGGAAATTAAGCAAATTATACTTACAATAGCATCAGAAAGAATACTTAGAAATATATTCAACAAGAGGTAGAAATATATTTGACAAGAGGTACAAGTCTTATATACTTAAAATTATAAAACGCTATGAAAGAAATTCAAGAAATCCTAAATAGAGATCTATCTTGTGTTCATGGATTAGAAGACTAAATATTGTTAAGGTGGTAATGATATAAAAAGCTATATAAAGATTCAGTGAAATCCCTATCAAAACTGCAGTGGGGCTGCAGCGGCTGTGAGTGTTCCACTGCCCTCCAGCCTGGGCAACAGAGTGACTCCGACTCAAAAAAACCCAAAAAACTTCAATGGTGTTTTTTGGCAGAACTGGAAAAGCAGATGGTAAAAATCATATGGAAATGCAATCAACCTTACCTTACCAAGACAACATGGGAAGAAGAAGAAAACTGAAGGACTTTCACTTCCTGATTTCAAATCATACAGCAAAGCTACAGTCATCAAAATGCTATGATACTGACATAGGAATAGCTATATAGAACAATGGAATAAAACAGAGAATCCAGAGATACTTATGGCTAATTGGCTCACAAGAGTGCTAAAGATCATTCAATGTGTAAAGAATAGTAGCTTTAACAAATGGTGACAAATGTAACCATTAAAGTCTCTTTAACAAAAGGCATGCAAAAGTATGAGGTTGGATCCATATCTTATACTATAAAAAAAAATTAGCTCAATATAGAGCTTAGACCTAAATAGAAAAGCTAAACCTACAAAAAGGGTATATCTTGATGACCACAGATTTGGAAATAAATTCTTAGAAACAATACCCAAAGCACAAGAAATAAGAACAAAAGAACAGATTACTGGACTTTGTCAAAATTAAAAATTAATAATACAGAAAAGAACACTATTAAGAAAGTGAAACAACAACCTACAAAATAGAAGCATATATTTGCATCTCATGTATTAATAAGACTCTAGTGTCCAGAATATTTAAAGAACTCTTAACAACTCAACACCAAAAGACACATAACCCAATTTAAAAATGAGCAAGGGACTTTAATAACCACTTATCCAGAAAAGGTATAAAAATAATACAAATGGCAAATAAATACATGAAAAGATGCTCAGCTACATTAGTCACCAAAAATTCAAATCATAACCACAATGCTTAATTTCTATAGAAGTCATCTTTTTTCTTTTATGGGTTCAAGTATACTCAGGTTTCCTAAGGACTCATCCACCTATTAAACAAGCCAGGGAACAAAGACCCCATAACTCCTAAGAATGCTAATAATGTGTCCTCAAAAAGCTAAAGACAGAGTTTCTGTCTGACAATTCATCTCACGGGCCAGAGAAAAATTCTATGATTTTTTTTTTTTTTAAAGAAAAGAAAAATAGTAAGGAAGATACTAGACAGTGAAAATGAGGTTGAACTCTTGTCTTCTTTCTCTTAAAGCTTCAGGCCTCTCAATTTTTGGATTTGGCAATCCTAGATGGCCAAAAAAAAAAGAGAAGGTAAGTCAGGGAAATGGGTAGGTACAATCAAACACTGACGGCAGAAGAATCCAGGGAAAAAGAGGAAGAAAGAAAAGTAGCAGGCAATAGTATTTAAGGTAAAAAAAGGAAGAGGTGCCCTACTGGGACCACATAAAAACACACAGATAACTATTCCTAAGTACTCATTCATAAATAAACCATTTATAAATAGAAACTCATTAGATATCTAGCTCAATTCTTTGTTTTCCAGAAAATATTGGATCTCCACTCTGCATTACTAAGAAAAGCACATTCTCCTTATGGTAAATTATCACAGCAAGGTGTAAGTTATTTGAGACAGCAAACTTTTCATTAAGTGCATGAATCAAGAGAATTTTATTTTGGAGGCTATTAGGCTAAGTCAAAGTATATAACCATAAATAAATCCAAATAAAATATTTGGATTTATAACATTTATATTCTAAAAATGCTGCTGGTAATTCACAACATGTTAAAACTAGTTATGTGTTCCCAATTTGTTTTACTTTAAAGAAGTGTATATACTTACCTGAAAATGTAAAAAACAGTTCATTTTGCAAACCAGCTCTCTGCATTTTAATACGATGGCATTCAGACTTAAGTAAGGAAATTTCACATGAAAGGTCAAGAACCATTTTGCTTAAAATCTGAAGAAGCTTCTTCTCAAAAGAAATATTGTAGATACTATTGCAGGGAGCTGCGTGATATCGAGCTGTGAACTGGTAGTAATAATGGGGTTCACGGTAAGCTGTAAAAAGTTAAACAGAGAAAGACACAAAAAGGGTTATTTAAGAAATTCAACTATATACTGCAACTATTTAAAAGAAATAATTATTTAGGACATATTCTTGGTGCATATTTTTATATTCATCTACATTTATTTCTATCTCACAAATTATCTAGCAGTTACAAAGTGCCAAATACTATGATAGCTACTTTATAAACAGTGACTCATTTAAATCTCTTTACGCCACGTAAGACTGGTATTACTTTTATATTCATCATGAAGAAACTGAGAGAGGCAGAGGTCACATGTCCGATGTTTATGCTATCAAAACTAAGACTCTAACCTAGACAGCCTGGTCCCAGAGCCTGTGTTCTTAACCATTTGCATGATATTGTTCAAATTCAGGTTTAACACTTTTCTAAGTTTAGATAGTCATCTTAGAAAAAATAAGTCGTATAATTACCAATAAAAGTCAAAAAGGTATGTTTCTAATAGATCTACAATTAGCTTTATTGACCCCAACATCTGGAACTGAGAACATGCGTTTTATTTTATTTTAATCCATTCCCAAAGTTTACTGAAATAACACAAGAAACAAAAAAAACCAAACAAACAAAAGAAATTCATTACAATACCAAAAATCTGAAAAGTCAGCCTTCTAAAACAGGGATCTCTGTTGCTACTTCTGTCATTCAAGGGGAGCCTCTCTGCCTGGTCACACTTGCACTCTGAGGAAAATCTCCCCTCACACCGAAGTGATCCCAGCCACTGTTCACTTTCCTATCTACTCATTTAAGCTAAAATTAAGTACAAATACTTAGCTACTGCCAACCTTTGCATTCAAGGTAGAAAGCAGACAGTTTCCAATTACTGAGAAAAACTCTATTAATTTCATTTGCGAGCAGGAATGAAAAGCACAGGCTCTCCCACCCATTTTGGGGGGAAATCCAAGGTTATTAGTGAAGAAAAGAAAAAAGCAAGGGAAAAGAACCACAATAAATTAAATGTAATAAGCATTAAAAAGCTTTAAAAATTATATATAGTAAAAATTAAAAATAGATCCATAAAACTATTATAAAGCTGCTGCAGAGGAGGAATGACTGGTAAGCAGGAAAATGATGCTTAAAAAATCAAAAAATAAATGCAAATGTAAAAAAATTAGCTGAAATAATAAATAAAAACAGAGCTAAAATATAATTATACAGACCAAATAACAGAATTATTATATAGCATAGAACAAAAATTATGAGAGCAAAAATAAGATAAGGAAGAAAAACCCCAGAGACCCAATATCAAAAGGAGAGTTCCAGAAGGAAAGAACAGTGGACATAAAAGAAGTTAACCAAGAGACATACAGAAATAATGTTCGTAAGCTGAAAAAATATTTGTGTCACCATACCAAAAAGTCTATCAAATAGTGAAGAGTACTGAAAATAAGTGCTATGCCTAGACGCAAATCCTATAAATCTGTCATGCTTTTACTGATTCATCTATCAATGTAACTAATAAATAAATGTATATATTTATCATGTATATATACACATATCATGATTTACAATGTTAAAGATATGTAATATATACAAATACAGCAGAGAATAACTGAATCTGCAGGGTCAGAGTTGGAAACTGTGAAGAAAATCACAGTATGATTAAGTACAGAGCAAGTGTGTCCCAACTTATGGACTAAAATGAAGCTATTTTTTTCCTCCAGAAATCTTTCCCATATCAAACTCTTGCCAGAGACAGAAAGAAGTGTGAATATAAGCCAATATATCTGCCAAACTTTGTCGAAAACTGAATCTAAAGCATCCTTTTCGGTATCTTCAGTAGAAGTTCACACAAATACATGCAGTAATTCAAGATCTGCTTATGTGCATAAAAGAGTTAACACAGCAGGCCTGAGGCTGCTTGAAGGATTGGCCCTTGGCTGGTAAACATTTCCCTACACAGATAGAAATCTTTCCCTTCTTGATAAAACTGTTTTACCCATCTGAGGCATTGAACGCCTGTTTGCCTTCACATAAAGGGTGCCTAGTGACTAGCTTCTTACACTTTGGGTTTGTTATTGCTTTATTCTGTTGCTTTAAAAACTCAGCAAATCCTCAAGTATTGTGTCTTCAAGGAGATTCATGGAACAGACTACAACAAGTACTCTTCAATACAGATTTCTGATAACCTGGAGATCATACAGTTAAATGAGGTAAGAATTTTAAAAGCTCCAATTTAAAACACTGGATTCATAAAATTGATAACCTAACATCAAGCAGACTAAGAATTAAGAGAGTGAACTAATGCAGGACTAAAATGATTTTTTATGACTTTTTTGTTTGAAACATTGCTGATTCTTTTTATGTTTTGTTTTCCAGAGTCAATAAAACTTTTTAAAAACTACTTACAGCTTACAGCATTTGGGTAAAATATGCTTTTGTGACTAAAATTGAAACATTTACCTTTTCGATCTGATTTCTACAGAATTTGGAAATTTCATGGCAACATACACCCAATAAGAATCTGGTTTCTTTTGTAGCAGGACACAATTGAAAATTGAAAACACAGGCTATATTATGAAGGCTTTGGCTGGAATGTCGTTATTTTCAGCTGTGACCAGAGTGTTTCAAGGAACTTAGTCTCAGGGACTCCCATGGAGTCACAGATCATAATTTGACAACCACTAATATGGAATATTCAAGGTGCTATTAGAAATTGCCAAGAACACATAAAAAAAGAAAGTAGATAAATAGCCAAAATATATAAACAGAAAGTCTCAAAAGGAAAATAAACATACATAAATAGGTACTCAAAGATAACAGTACTAAGGAAAATGCAAATTAAAGTGATATAGTATTCTCCATCTGCTATACAAATAGAAGACCAATAAAACAAGAAGCATGTGTGCATTATTAAAATTTAATAAAAACATTTAAAAACATAAATCCTTAAAATATAAAAGAAACAGACAAATTAAGAATAAGAAATTAAAGAACAAAGACAGGTAGCTATTACCCAAGAACATGTGGAAATTGTAAGAAGTAATATCTAATATATTAGAGTAATAAAATATAGTCCTACTTAAGGAAAAAAAACCACCCAAGTTAAAAACAAAATAATTGAAGTGAATAGATAAGCTAATTGACAGGTATAACATACCTGAAGAAACATTTGGTAAACTGCATAAGAGTACCTAAGTTAAACCACATTTAAGGATTCTGGTAAATAAAAGTTAAAAGATACAAGTGATAAACTAAAAACTTACAGGAAATATGTATAATTAGTGCTCCATAAACAAAAATAATTATAATAGTCAAGAGATAATATTTTAGAAGCATGAAGAGTCAACAAAATCCAAAAATTCAGTATTATGTAAACCACATTCTCTGACACAGCAATCAAAATCAAAATCAACAATTAAAATCCCTCAAATATTTTTAAACAAAAAAAAAATTATGACACACCCAAGAAGAGGTCATGTGATCTCACACTGAGAAGGCAGCTGTCTGCAAGCCAAGAAGAGCACTGCTTCAAAGAATCACCCAGGAGATGGGGCAAGATGGCGACGGCATAGGTGAACTGGTGAGATTCTCTGAACGGACCAAGACTGCAAACTGCTGAATAGACAGACTGTAAAGCAGAGGGAAAAGTGAACAAAACCAGAAGACCCTCATAAGGAAGAACAGATCATTGCAGAAGAGAAATAAAAACAACCCCACCTTCCCTCAAAAACAGAATTGAAGAGGGGGAGGGAAAGGGGTAAAGGGAGAAAAATCTACAGAAATGAAGAAAAACCAAAAGAAGAGTATGGGTCTCTCCCAGACGCCTGGGAGAGCAGACACTGAGAAAATTGACTTTGGAATACAAACAATGAAAAGTCCCCAGAATGAAGGGTCTCAAAATGCAAATGTAGATATCAAAACAATAATGGAGAGACTAAAAAGAATTGAGGAGACACAAGAAGAAACTAGGAAGGAGCTGATATCTGAGATAACAGTAATAAAGAATACTGTGAATGAAATAAATAACAAATTGATAAGCATGGAAAGCAGAATTACCCAAGCAGAAGAAAGAATCTCAGAGCTTGAGGACCAAAATATAGAAATAACCCAAACTCTTAAAAACACAGAAAATAAGCTAAAAAAGACAGAACAAAACCTTCAAGAGATGAGTGACTACCTCAAGAGGCCTAACCTAAGAATAATCGGACTCCCTGAGGCAGAAAGAGAAACAGAGACCACATTGGAACAAACTTTCCACGAGATCATTCAAGAAAATTTCCCTTATCTAATCAGTGATACAAAAATTCAACCACAAGAGATTCAGAGAACCCCCGCAAGACAACAAATGAGAAGACCAACTCCTAGACACATAATAATTCGCCTAAATAAAGTAGGCACAAAAGAAAAAATCCTAAAGGCAGCAAGAGAAAAAGGCCTGATCACCCACCATGGAAGACCAATCAGAATAGCAGCAGATTTATCTGCAGAAACCCTGCAGGATAGGAGAGCTTGGAGCCCTATCTTCAAAGTCCTAAAGGATAAACAATTTCAACCAAGAATAACCTACCCAGCCAAGCTAAGCTTCATCAGTGAGGGAGAATTAAAATCTTTCCCAGATATCCAATCCCTAAGAACTTATGCAGCCACAAAACCATCTCTACATGAAACACTCAAGAAAGTACTAAACACAGAAGAAAAGGAAAAAAGAACAACGTTCTTCACAAGAGTACAGGGAAAAGAATAAAATATACACGAACCAACCCCAAAAGCAAAAGAAAGACAAAAAAAAAAAAAAAAAGAAAAAGAAAAAAGAAAAAACCAAGTGGAAGAACAATAACTCAATAAGAACTCCATGATAGGGATGAACTCTCACATTTCAATAATTAGTCTGAATGTGAATGGACTAAATGCACCACTGAAAAGACATAGAATGACAAAATGGATAAAATATCACCAGACAACAATATACTGCCTTCAAGAGACCCATCTCACTAGAAAGGACATACACAGACTCAAAGTAAGAGGATGGGA